GTAGCTCTGTGTAACCAGCCAGCTAACAATACAACTAAAACATACACCATAATCTTCATCCAAGGCTTGCTTTTCTTAAATAAAGATCTTTATAAATGTTTTATTACATTTGTCCCATCACGGATTTAATAATTATCTTTAATTGAAGTAGTTGCAATTTTGCACCAATAATGTTTAGCCCTCCCACTGTCTTTTGGGTGACCCTGTGAGGAAAGTTGACCACTGAGCAGGATTGATGGTTTATCCCTTGAGGTCCACGTGGCAGGTGAGGTGGTGCTCACTCCTCACCCCTGCCACATGGACCCAAGGGATAAACCATTAACCCTGCTCAATGGTCAACTTTCCTCGCGAGGTCACACCCATTAGGACAGTGGGAGGGTTAATGCTTAAGCATTTATGTTAGGAAATATGTGATGTTGGCAACCTACATGATTTATTTTTTCCCCCTTTTTTTAGGGGGACCACGCATATGTCGTTATCAGTTTATATCGGTATCAGAAATTAAGAGTTAGACATATCTGCTATTGGATATCTGTAAAAAAGACAATATCGAGCATTCCTAGTAATTATAGAAAAGTAACTTTTCGTTTCATCCTGCTCTGTTCCCTGTCAACTCTGCTCTGCTGCCATCTCACTGAAAATAGGCGTGAAGTGATAAAATGTTTTGTGAGCATAGAGACATTAAAATTCTTGCTGTGCACTTCAAAGTAAACAGGAGACTGGCTATGTTCACTGATAATGGAACTGTTCGAAAAGTTTTAAATCTTGGAAGAGACAGTTGCTTTTGTCACATGTCATGTTTGTCTATGCTGATGACTAACAAATATCAAATTAGTTAGTCACATATCGGCACCATCTGCCAATTCGATGGCGCAACGCTTTGTATTATTTGTCAGGTTTTTTTTCTCGTAATACAGTTATTTGTATTTTTAAAAGTCCTTCGCATTGGGTTTTCATTTAAGTGAAGATAATTTACATTAAACATCAAACAAGCAGTGGAAGAACTGAGGACACGAGTCTTATTGAAGCACGGGGCCGTGACTGATTAGCTGTGTAACACACAGAGATGAGGAAAACACAAGTGTATGCCCAGTCATTGTTACTGGTACCACAAACACAAGTGCACAAATACACAATCTTACATAAGAACATGCAGCACAGCTTGGGGCCTGCTAATGACTTGAGTGAGGCTCGGGGAAACGCCATCATCGTTTGATAGAACTCAGTGAAACAAACCAAACTGCAGAGCTGCATGTTGGAGATAGGGAATGAGTTGGGAGCCACTGACAATTTGTTTTTATGGAGTGTTTTAAGGGAGCTCGCTTGAGTCTGTCACACGCTGTGATGATTAAATAATCAGCTTTTTTTTGTTCTTTATGGGTCAGAAAACAATCAATTTTGTCCTTGACTGGCCTGGAATTTCTCCGAAAAAATTAGTTTAATTTCAACCACTATACGCTTCGATTTGTACCGCTGACAGCATGGTTGTAGGGTTTCTGGGGAATTTCTGAGAGGGGGGACGTTACTGATCGGCACTAAAAGGCATCTGTGGACATTTTACATTGTCAAAGTGTGCGATAAGGATATTAGATCCCTCTGAGACAGCGGCTTTGTGACGTAAAGAAGTGGCGTTCAATGACTAGAAACGTTTTTTTTCTGCCCTCTGTAAGAAACCACAAAGCGGCATAAATTTCAGCGTTGTGGAGGGATTTCAGCTACATTTTGGGCATTGGGAGTTTGGAAGCAGCGATGTTAAAACAGCGTGGATGCGGTTAATTTTCTTTTCTTTCTGTTCTGCATCACCAGAAATGCTTCCAATTCTACATACGCTGATTGTTTGGCGACGTCTGCCGATGTAATTTCCCACTTAGTTATGATCAAGCAGCACGAGTTAACCACAAGTCTCAAACAGTAACTCAGGTCATTTCCAAGTACAGTTCAGGTACTCGGTATGTCCCTGAAATTCCCCGGAAAGTGGTCCTTTTGGGCTAGCCTGATGAAATGGAGATATGCTCATGCCGTGACGGTCCGATAAAATTATCCGGAAGTAATTGGCCTAAAATTTTTTAACTGTTTGGATCATTTAGGCACAAATTTTGTTTATTTTGCCCACTGCAGTGGCCCCTCGTTTATCTCAGGGTTACGCTCTAAAAATAACCTGCAAAAGGTGGGATCCACAAAGTAGCCAGCTTTAATTTTACAATTATTATAAATGTTTTAAGTAGGGATGTGTATTGGTAAAAATTTGGCGATACGATACGTTTCATGAAACTGGGGACAATACAATGTATCACGATTGCAATACATTCAGTCAGACGTTATTAGCAATTTTTTTAGACTGAATTTATTGTAGAAATATTCAATAAACAGGCCAAACTGATACTTAACATGTTTAACACGAGGTATCTGAACCATAACAGAAGGATTTACATTTCATTGGTTGAAACATAACCCAGTGCACACTGCTGCCAACTAGCGGTTGGCGTTTGAATTGCACCAAAAGAAATATAATATTGCTGTAAACAATATCACCATATATTGCCATATAGATATTTTCTTACATCCCTAGTTTTAAGGTAGTAAAAACCCTCCTTACACACTTCATACACTTTTCTCTGACTGCCATTAGCATTTTCACACCTTTCTCAACGAGCTGTAAAAGAATAGCATGCAAAATGCCGCTAAGGTAAGAATTGTTTTCAGGTGTGTTTATTAGTTTTTTCTAACTAAAGTGAGTTGCCTGAATGCTTTTATGGGCTGCCTGAATGTTTTTCTCACAAAAAAAAACTACGCAATAACACCGAACGCTGATTATATTACAGCCATAGCAGCACCACAAAAACAATAAAACAACCAGACGCTCCGCTCCTGCTCGCTGCTACTACTGTACCTTTTAAAACCAGGAGAGACCCTGGATGTGTACTCTAACAAACACTAATACTGGTCACGTCTAACGCTTTTCCTCCCAGCTGAGGACATTTTTTCCTTTTAGACATAAATTGTTCAACTGTTACCGACGTATATCAGGCTGGCCAGCCATGCCAATGCTTTCTTATGGGAAGCAAAGGGCCCGGTAACGCTCCCATTCAAATAGCCCCTCCTCCTGAGAATTCTAACCAAGCCAATCAGCGCTGAGCAGCGTACGTCACATACCGCGATGCTCAGTTTCTCATTAACAATAAAGATGGCGTCTGAAGCTGAGTTCGCTGCGGCTCTTTCATCTGTTCTAAATGACTTGAACAAGACTTGAGGAAAAGTTTGAAAACTATTGGGAGAAAAAAAAAGAAAATTATTTGGGAAAAGGAAAGGCTAAATAAAGAGTTGACAAAAAAGATTTGTTAGAAAAGAAAAATCTGCAAATGCAACCAAGTGTGGAAATGCAGCGGGCTTGTTAATGTCATTTATTGCATACAAATAGACTCAAGATACACTGACTACCCATTTTCAGGTGATTGTAGGGCTGGATCTTTACTCTTTAAAATGCCAAAGAAGAATTTGTTGGGTTTAAAAACCAGTTTATGGGGATTTTTTTTTCTTTAAGTGGAAAAATCATGTAGTTAGGTTCCTATTTTTGACTTGATCTCTCTGTGCATCACCCACACACTCATGTTGAATCCAAGGAGTTAATATGAGTGATTCACAGAAATCTCCTTAGCCTTTACAGCATGACACATTTTGGCTGGAAAAAAAATCTAGTCACCTAAACCCACGGAAGTAAAGCAGGACCAAGTGCTGAAAAACGGCGTTCTTTAATCATCTCTTGGTGCTGGAGTCCAATTTTCATGCTAAATGCTTTTGTGTGAAATGATTTCCCATCTCAGAAAATACAAAGCACTTCAAGGTCAACAAAAATGTGTCTGCAACAATAAATGTCAAGAAATAATAACACTTAAATGTATTTATAAAAACCATTTTAATGCATTTGATATAACAGTTTTCACAATTTGAGATCATAAATTAGGAAATAAATTGAAAATAAATAAAATATGTTTTAAAGTGCTTTTTAAAAACGATGAAGACAGAAATGGAGCATAACTACAGAGAAAGGACGACTTTCAAATAAAGCTAAACTTGAATTACTTTTATTCCAGTTGTTTTCTATTTAAAACTTTATTATGAACTTAGGAGAACAGAAGAAAGGTATAGAAGATATTTAAATCAAAGAGGGTTATGGATCTTAGCATCAAGGGTTCAGAAATGCAACTTTCCAGAAATCAATTTGAACAAATTTCAGTTTTTATCCTTTGTCTCCAGATTTCTCTCATGATAATTTTAACTTCCTGTTGTCGGGACAAGGTTTTATCTTCCAGAATAAATTGCTGTTCTGTTGAAGTTTCATTGCAAGCCTGTAACAAAGCACCCACGTCCTCTTTAACCTGACATCTACCTTCCATCTCATCCTGACATGTTTGAAAAGCAGAGTCCAATTATTAGAAAATCTCAACTGAAACATCAAATTTGAAAGAAATTCACAAATTAAACAAGCTAGTTATAAAAATAGCCTTTAAAAGCTTAAATGCTGTAGATTTTTCTCTGCACTGAGTTACACAGATGCTTTTTTGTTTATTTTTTTTGACATCCTTACTCCCATGATAATAGCTCGTCCCTCCAGTTCACCTTTATTTTCCATCCTGTTTCATCCTGGGATGACTAATCTGGTTCGCTTTGCTGTGGCAACCGAGCTCTATTTTAAGGAGGAAATGCATAATTAAAGAGATCTGACCTGAAGGCAGAGAGCAGGAGCCGTACAGCGCATTTCTGCGTGATACACTGGGATATTTTTATATAACAATTTTGATCAATATGATAGAAAATTTAGATTTTATTCAGCTGATTCAATAACTCACTTCTATTTGATTTCTGTAACCTTTCTTGGTTTATCTGAAGGAAATCGAGTGATGTTTACCCTGAGTGATGGGGTGCATCCTGCTGCTGTGTAACCCAAACACACACACTCGGGCCTTCACACTTAAACACGTGGACTCACACTTGGGAGAAGCATGCTGAGCTATCAGACTGGAGCTAATGAGACACCTATTCGTCCTCCTTGGAGACGGGACGTGTGTCAATCTGCAGGTCTTTTCTTCGAGCCTGTTATCTGTTTTAGAGCAATACTAGTCATTTCCTGACACGTATGCAAGTGTTCTTATGTAAAGTGCCTACAAGATGCTTCAAGGACACACCAAAGCTACTGTGAAGGTTTCTCTGTAGCTTGTTGATTAGATAAGAATATCTCCTCAAGCAGTTATGGATTAATCTGTTTGAGTTTTTCATAAAGATTTGCTTTAATTTTTTTTTACCTTCTGTATCTCATTTCTCTTCTTTTTCCATCTTCCCTTTTTCCCTATCCGTGTTTCTCCTCTTCTCCTGCGGCAGGATCTCCGCAGAGCACTCGCCCAAGCTGCAGATCCGAAGTCACAGCTACCTGCGGGCGGTGAGCGAGGTTTCCATCAATAGGAGTCTGGACAGCTTGGACCCGGTGGGGTTGCTGGCCTCGCCTAAATTCCGCTCCCGAAACGAGAGCTACATGAGAGCTATGAGCACCATCAGCCAGGTTTGTGGACATCTATAGGTCCAAAGCCCTTTATCCATCCTTCAAGGTGTGGAACACGGAAATACTATTTTTAAAATCTTATTTCTGACTATAATCGGTCACTCTGAGTATTTCATGCAGGCTAAACATGAAACTAGTCTCCTACACCTATCTCCTGCATTAGCGTCTGATAGAAAATAGACATTGAAATGCTAGGATTTGAAAATCCTCACAGTTGTGTCACACCGTGAATTAGCGTTCATGGACTCACCGATCTTGAGTGATGACGGGGAAGGCTGTTGTTATTTTAACGTCCGGGACTCAGCAAAGGGCATCTCGGCTAGTTTAAGCTAACAAATAGCATAAGCAACTTCACCACACAGCAGAACTCCTCCAGGCTTGTATTATTTGTGGAGATAAAAAAATCTATGTTGATATTCAGTGGTAGAATTTGTTGATGTTATTCAATTTGGGGTGAGATGTGCAAATGTCAGGAAATAAGACTCCAAACCCTGCCGTCTGAAGCTCAGCTCTGATGTGGCTCCCTTCTAGTTCGTGGAATTTCCCCCCTTCCCAAGTACAAACTTCAAGGCATTCTTTCCTACTAGGGACAGCAGTAGCTCAGGAGGTAGAGCGGGTTGTCTAGCATTCAGAAGGTTGTAGGTTCAATCCCGGCTCCCGCCAGAGAATGCTGCTGTTGTGTCCTTAGGCAAGACACTTACCTGCCTTGCCTGCTAGTGGTGGTCAGAGGGACCGGTGGCGCCTGTGTTTGGCAGGCCTCGCCTCTGTCAGTGCACCCCAGGGCAGCTGTGGCTACATCGTAGCTCATCACCACCAGTGTGCGAATGGGTGAATGACTGATTGTGATGTGAAGTGCCTTGGGGGGTTGTAGAACCCTAAGAAGGCGCTATACAAATACAGGCTGTTTACCATTTAGAGACCACTGCAATTGTATCGGCAAAAATGAGTGTTCCTCACCATAAACTGAAAGATTGTATTGAGTGTTGTCTTGCAGCGGTGAAAACGAGATCTGTGGTTATTCTTGGGCTCAAATCATCAACTAGGTCACCATTTTTGTGAAGACAGAATACTACGCAAACCCCTTGTCTCCTAATTAGTGTATATGTTTGTGGTTTTCTGCAGCGGAGACATTGATATTTAGATTGGCTAATTAAACAGGAGCACGTGCAAATTCCCCTCCTGCTGGTTTGCTTTTTCTGCCTCAGCATAGTTTATAAAGCAAAAATCAAAGTGTCACCTCAATCTGAGAGATGGGATTATTTTCTGATTCAGTGAAACTGTTCAATCATAAATAGAGAAAGTGAGCTAGCAGCAGCCTGCTTCTGTCATGGTTGCTGTAAAATAAGGTAGACACTTGGGATTTGGATCATTCTTTGCACTGTTTGCAGTGACAGGGAAGCTTTTGCCTGGGGTAATTTGGATGTGTACTTCAATCCAAAGCCCAGAGGCAACACTTTGCTTCACCATCTGAGTGACGGACCCTTGGGACACCCCTTCAAGTTCTGTCGGAGGCCGGTCCTTACAGGAGAATGTCACCGTGGAGCTGGCATTTATTAAAAGAACAGAGGTGTTGCTGTTTTTTAACTCGCGCTCATTTACATGTGTGTTGTCACAGAAAATGGAAAAATCTCAACTTTTCCACTGATTTCTCTGATTATAGTCCCCCTCCACAACAAACACACAAACCCAAAGTCTTATTGCTCCGCTTAAGCTCTTCAAGTACATGTATGGAGCTCGTCTAGCCTCACATAACCCCGTTCCTTAAATCCCACAAATCTGTGGCAAGCTTCCAGAGGGTTTTTCTTTACATATAAAAACTTTTAGTCAAACCAAAACCACGTGTGCTAATGATGTAGCTGGATATCCTCGGGCTATAATGCTAATCCCAGTAGTTCTTTTTTTTACACTTTCTTTTGTCATCTGTGAAAAAAAGAGCTCTTTGAAGTTTTATCAAACAATAATCTACACCCTTCTAATGCTTTTTATTTTCATTCATTCATTCAATTATTTTTCCCAAGTGTGCAATACCATGCAAAGATGATCCAGTCCCGGCACAGCTTCAGCTTTGTCACTGATTGCTGGACAATGGTCTCCAGAATCTGCTGATATAGAGTGGACTCCATGTGTCCCTCAAATTTAACACGATTCCCAGTCCTTGCACTGGCCACACAGCCCGCAGCATGATAGAACCACCGCCATGTTTTACTGTAGGTAGCAGGTGTTGTTCTTGGAATGATGTGTTCTTTTTCCTCCATGCATAGCGCCCCTTGTTATGCCCAAGTATCTCAATTATAGATTGGTCTGTCCAACACCTTATTCTAAAATGAAGCTGGCTTGTCCACATGTGCTTTAGCATAGCTCAAGCAGCTCTGTTTGTGCTGTGGGCGGTGTAAAGGCTTCCTCTGTATCACTCTAGCGTGCAGCATCTCCTTGTGTAAAGTGCGTCTAATGGTTGAACGATGCACAGTGACTCCATCTGTAGAAGATGATGTTGTAGGTCTCTGGTGCTGGTCTGTGGGCGGACTCTGACTCTTCTCACCATTCTTCGCTTCCATTTATCTGAGATTTTTTTTGGTCTGCCGCTTTAAGCCTTAACTTGAACTGTTCCTGTGGCCGTCCATCTCCTCAACATGTTCCTAACTGTGGAAACAGCTGAAATCTCTGTAATAGCTTTCTGTATTCTTTCCCTAAACCATGATGGGGAACAATCTTTGTTTTCAGCTCATGTGAGAGTTGTTTTGAGACCCCATGTTGCTGCTCTTCAGAGAATATTCAAAGAGGAGGGAAAAATACAATTGGCCCACTTAAATACTCTTTCTCATGATGGATTCACCTGCGTACGGAGGTCAAGGGTCACTGAGCTTACCAAACCCCTTTTGAGTTCCAATAATTAGTTCTAAAGGTTTTGGAATAAATAAAATGACAACAGTGTCTAAATTTATGCACCTGCCTAATTTAGCTTAAACAATTATTGCACACTTTCTGTAAATCCTATAAACTTTGCTTTACTTCTCAAACATCACTGTGTGTGTCTCCTATAACACATATTTGACTGACATTTTTATCGTAACAACCAACAATTTATACAGGAAAATCTTGAAGACTAACAAGGCTGCTCAAACGTTTGCATCTCTGTATGTGGACTGAATTTAACCAGATTAAATTAACTCTTGGTGTGAAATTCACCTTTTTTTTTGGACTGCAACCCACAAGTTTAGCTCTGCGTGTTTAAGTTGTAATGATTTTCAACAACATAAAACAGAAATAATTGCTGCTATTAAAAGGAAAAAACTGATTAAATGAAAACACATTTTTAAAGTGTATTTAAAAAAATCATATATATTTTAATCTTTGTAAATATGTATTTGTTTGTGAAAATGCTTGTGTGGATGTTTTGTTTTTGCAGGTGAGCGAGGTGGAGGTAAATGGACAGATTGAGGCGGTGTGCGAGTCTGTCTTCAGTGAGATGGAGTCCCAGGTGGTGGATGCCCTGGACCTGCCCATGTCGGGCTGCTTCCGCATGCGCAGCCACAGCTACGTACGTGCTATAGAGAAAGGCTGCTCACAGGAAGAGGAGGAGGGTGGCGTCACAGCGGGCATCAGGAGGAGCGACTCTCCCCCGCGCACTGCCACCACCGTCCGAACCATCCAGAGCAACACAGGTTGGTGGAAACGTGCTCAACACATGCAGGCTGATGTGCTCGTGACTGTGCATGAACAAACATATTCTATATCTCGTTAGGAATTCATCTGTGTGCAGAAGGTGTGTGGTGATTTTTTTAATTATGCATCAAATGTATAGAATGGAAACCAAGCTGCATTTAGGAAGCTGTTCCTATTGATTGTCAGTGAGTGCTGAAACTGTTTTACATGTTATAACTTCCATAACTCTTATTATTCGTATGACCCAGTTTCCTCATTTATTAGATGAATCCAAAACCACTTTTTTCCCACACAGAGAGCTTATCTGAATTCTAAAGCTTAGTGATGGCTGGATCTTATTTTAGCCCCCTCGTGGGTCTCATGGTCTGGAGAGCTTGACTTTGCACCGACTCCATGCAGTATTGATGCTGAGTGGTGCTGGCAAACAGGACTGAGTGCTACGCTGCAAAATCCAAGCGTTGTTCCGTTACACCACGCGTGTTGAGCCTCCACTGCCTCGTGCACTCCGGCTTTCCCTTCAGCTCTCGTTTAATTATACCAATTAGGCGACAGCGTTTGCCCAAACCTAGAGGACTTCCAGTTGAATGCATTCACTGCAGTTTGTGCCATACTTTTTTCACTTTTAAAAATTGCTTCCTTTGCTGTTTTTATTTAATCGAAATGATCTCTTTCATTACTTCTATTTTCCTTATTTCACTTGAAGAAACTGAACAAAATCTGTATTTTTATCATCACATATAATTAGCAGTGTGGGTTCACAATGCAATTAAAGCTAACAGATAATTTGGTTGATTGTTCCGCTGAGTGGAGGTAGATATTGATCTATTGGAGACTGATAAAATAAAGATCCCAGACCTTCGTAGCTCCACCTCGGGGGAAGCAAGAGTTAATGAAGACCATCTATCAGGGGAAGTGTGAGAAATAAAAGCAGGTTTTCAAGCTACACAACACAGAATACTCTCTTTATTGCCTCTTGTTCCCTTTAAATATATATTTTGTCTACCGTAGCATGAAGACGACATTTTCAAAACATGTCAGATAAAAAGTGCCGCTGTCAGCTGCAGAGTCCTAAGTGAGCGTCCATTTCAGATGCCTTAATTTGTTACATGATGGACAGATTAAGACATGCTGCTAGTGTGCTGGGTGTCATTACACTGCTGTTTCTTGCAATTGAAGACGATCTCCTGGTTTTTAGCGCTAAAAGAGATTTACCATTGAATTCCTGCAGGGTTTTTAAATTGAAACCGAGACTTCTAATCAGTTGGAACCAAAACACAACCAAACGAGACGTCGGGGATTTGGCTGAGCGATGCTTCACAGGGTGATGTCTGGAGCAGTTCACCACTCTGGAGATAGAGCTCTGCTTCATATTACTGTCATAGTTGTACTGCTGCCCAATTCATCACTTCCTTAAAACTTCACGTCAGAGTCATCAGTCACTGTAATTAATGAACTTCCCGCCAAGACATGCCAAACTGGAAGGCGGCAGTGTTCCAAAAAAACGTTTTTTTGGACGTGGAATAACTAGGTGGTGGACAGTAACCGTCCTTAACGTGCTTTGCTTGTGGTCTGCTGCATAGCGCAGTAACTGAGCTTGTGAAAGTGAGTGAGTGTAAATACAGGAATTTTCAACAGATGACCTGAATGGCTCTTTAGGTTTTGCAGCACTCCTGCGTCTTGTTGACAATCTTATCGATGTAAAATCGTTTGAAAAAGCAAAATAATGTTCAACTCGCAGTTCGAAAACTTGTATCACTGGACGAACAGAGCTATCTTTAAAAAATTGGTCATTTTACATCTACAAGGGTCCAATTAATGCTGCATCTAGGGCAGGTAGGACACTCCAGTCCTAGAGAGCTGCTTTCCAGCACGTTTTAGAGATTTCCCTGCTCCAACACACCTGATTTTAATCAGCAGGTGATTAAAAGGCTTCAACAGACTCTGATGAGCTGCTGACCTGTGTTTAAACACAACACATTCTCACACCCAAAGCGTCCAAAATGGCGTTTGTTTCTGATGCGTTGGGAGCCCCAGCGCGTCGGGAGGCGACATGCTGTGCCCGACCGTCGTTTTCTGACTGCTGTGGTAAAACGGCGATTTCACCGAATTATGACCTTTACTCTCTTGCTATTTAACCTTTCCCTCACTCCCATTCTAACCTTAACCCTCTTGCGCATGCAAAACTTTGTTTCTAGTTGTAACGTACATCTCAAATACGGTGAACGAGAAGTTTAGAACGAGAAACTGGGTTAATGTTAGGATGTGCGTTAGGGGAAGGTTAAATAGCAAGAGGTTAGAGGTTAAATGTCGGTTAAATGTGCGTTTTACCGCGGGTGTCGGAAAACGACGCGCTGGGGCACCCAACGCATCGGAAACAAACGCTTGGTCACCCACCGTCATCTTTCAATGCTTCGGGTGTGAGAATGTGTTAAGCAGGGAAACAACTAAGACATGCTGGATAGTGGCTCTCCAGAACCAGGGTACCCTACCCCTGAGCTAGAATATCAGTTTGTTTAAAGTGTTTGTCCGCTTTATGTTTTATTACAATATATACTGCAGTGTAATGACAAGTGTTGAAAACTGGAGCTTTATTCCTAATAGGGGATCAAACCAGTGAACTACCGATTACATACAAACATAGTTCTTCTTAGGCAAGAGACTTTGGTAAAAAGATGTTTCTTCTACCTGCAACAGTTTCACCTTCTTGCCTGAAGCCTTCTTCACGGCTGTCATCTGCTGGAGCGACAATGCGTCTGATATCTGGTATTCCTGGCACTTGTCTTGCCTTTTAAAGCTACAGTGGCAAGTTTGGATATTACATTTGCTTAAAACATTTTTCATGCTTCTTAACAGCATTCTAACATATATAATATAGTTAAACTTCCTTTTTTTTTACTTTTATTGATGTTGAATGTGTTTATGGCTCGATGGGAGCAGCCCTCAATTTCATTGTACCCCGTGCAATGACAATAGAAGTCTATTCTATTTTATTCCATTCTATTCTATTCTAAATGTATTGTGGAGATTTTAAAAAAGCAAACAAAAATAATAATAAAGTAGTTCTTGCATTTGTCTAAATACCTCAGCCAATAGCACCTTCCAGACCGAAAGCTACCATTGGACCACCCGGTTGTCGGTCTTGCTGAATCACCACACTTCCTCACTTTCCTGGGTCCTCCATTCATTATGCACTCACATATTTAGCAATGGAGCACCACTGGTGTGAGAGGTTCTCCTCTCAATGACTACGTTTACATGCAGCCAATATCCGGGTTATGATCGGGTTAAGGTCGGTATTCGGGTTTCTTAGTTGATCAGAATAACCCGTTTACAAGCAGAAATAGAAAGAGTTACCCCTAACTTGCATAACCCGATTTAAATGTTGGGGTAGCGTCAGGACGTATGGACTACGCGTCATTTCCGGCTCTTCTTGTTCCGGTATCCGTGAAAACAACAACATGTTTCCCAGTTCGGAAGAGATAGCGACCACTTTTGTTTGTGCTTTAGTTTCCTCGTCACTCCAAAAGTGTGGTGCTGTGCCGCGACTCGCCATGTTGCTCCCAACTTGTTGTTTACTTCCGGTGTTCTGGCGCATACAAGACGTCTCGCTACTCAAAAGACCAAGATTCCTTGCAAACAGAGCATGCGCAGAACACACGCTTTGATGGGGATATCCCGGTATGCGTTTACACGACCAAACATTCGGGTTAGAAAAGGGTTACCCCAGGTGTAGTAACCGGGTTTTTTAAATCCCGGTTATGAGCATATCCGGGTTATTGGTGGTGTTTACATGGACCTGCGGAACCGGGTTATTGTGAATATTCGGGTTTTAAAAGGGTTACTGGCTGCATGTAAACGCACTCAGTAACATCAGAGAAGGAGAAATAGCCGGCTGCTACCACTTCAACTTTAGGACAAATTACAAGAGTCCCAAAAATGTCATAACATTACATTAACTGGAAGCGCCATAATTAATTTCTTCACAGAAACTCCTTCACAGCTTTTACGGTTCTGCTGATTGCTGTTGTTCCACGTTTCAGGAGAGGCAGGTCGCACCTCTAAACACACAGAATTCTCCAAATCAGCTGGGAGCGCGGAGTGAGAAGGGAAGATGTTGTTGTGGTAAATATTGCATAACACTTCTGAGGGCTGTTTTCAAGCACCAGTTCCAGAAAACGAAAAAAAAGAACACTTATGGTGTCTGCTACCATTTGTCCCCGTGGCAAACTGCCAAAATATTATACACACACACACACACACACACAGCATGAGAAACCCATCAGCATCCGCTCACACTCCTCGCTGCCATGCCACTCCTGCCCATTATTATTGATGATCTGTTTAATCCAAAGGAAGGGGACCAAAGTTCTTTGATCTCTTCTCTTTGAACACGAAGTGGCTACTGTTGCTTGCTCAAACTGGCACACCCACTCCTGCTCAGTCACACACACGTTACTGCAGCACCATACAGACAGGTTCGGCTGAGACGTCAGCTCCATTGGATCGGTTTAACAAAATCTGCTGCAGATCCTCTTTGTAATGCTGGAGAAAATCCATAGTAATCAGTTAACGCGACGACTTTACTGCCACTAAGCCGCGGCTCCTCCACCTCATATCGTCTTCATTTAACGTATTAATCACCTTTTCACCCTGCTACAGCTAAGGAAACTTCTTCATCCTAGCTGCTTTTCCACAGTTATTTGCTTGACTTTCAATAAGAAGAAGCACACAAAGAGATCTGGAAAAAAAAACCTTGTAATTTCTCTCACACTCCCCAACCCTCATCGACCGACCCTCTGCTCATAAATAGCTTTTATTCATCGTCCGATCACAGGTGCTAACTGAAAAGTGTGGCTTTTTGCCCCTCCATCTCGTCTCTATTGTGTTTAGTTAAATGGCTATGATGTTTTTCCCCTCGGCAGAGAGGTGTTGTGCTGAGTAAAGCATTTCTTAATGGTTAAGCATTTGAAGCATGCTCATGATTCAAATTGCTGACGGT